CATGAAAACGCAGACACCTGCGAAGGCCGGCCTCTCTGCCATGACCTCAAGCCTGCATGAGCTGCAGAGAGGTGTTGAAACCCACAGCTCCCCTCAGAACGGAGTCGGGGGGACGACGGCGACGATGCACTACAGTGGGTCCAATCCGAGAAACTGGCCTAGAAACCAAGCACTCAGGAAAGGGAAAGCCAGCCCCTGGGCTAGGCCTGCACTTTGACCTATCTGCAGGGAGCACCCGTAGAAATAGAGCCTTTATTTTTATGCTCACAGGAGAATAAGTGGAAACTATGTAACAATGGAATCGTCTGCAGGTGATGGAAAAACTCCAGCATGGTAAGGCAGTCATTCTACATGGGTCTGTGGCTCAGATTCCCAGGGAAGGCACTCCTATAACAGGACAAACACTTGCTGCCACTGCCACCTCCCTCCATCATTCACTGAATCCGGGCTCGCTAGGTGCCCAGGAAAGTTCCCCGTCATTCAGAGAGCTGCTGACTATCACAAACACCCGGGGTAGGGGGTCTGGTTCTCAAGGAAAAAAGATTTGAGTCAAGATATTGAAGAAACTTAGGAAATGTTTATCGATTTTCCTTTACTGTCATCAACACTAAAAAGATCCAGTCAGAGCCGGATGGTGGCTCAAGCCTGTAGTCCCAGCACTCCAGGAGGAGAAGCAGGTGGATCCCGAGTTACCAGACCAACCTGATCTACAGAGCAAGTTCCAGGACAGCCAAGGGCTACACAGAGAAACCCTCTCTCAAAACAAAACAAAAACAAAACAAAACAAAAAAAGCAAACCAAAACAAGAAGAAAAAAAAAAGGAGCCAGTTTGGTTTCACCATGGATGACAGAGCAGCTTTTTAGAAAACCGAGAGGCAGAACTCTGTGTGCTGGGGTTGCTGTAACCACAGGGGACAGCAGGGTTCATTCTCCACACAGCACAGTACAATCTGTGTTCACATTCCCTCAAATGAAGTGATCAATATCAAGAAAGATGTAACATTGATAGCCACTATTACCTGTATTTTGTTAGAATTATCTCCCAACATAAACTTTAAAGACATGATAGAAATACAATAATCAAACATTAGTCAAACTGGCATCACAGATTTGCCTCTTTGGGCAAGCAGTCTAAACAGCAATCCTAAATTCTAATTCTACACACGTATACTGCCAGATCTTTCCAGTTCTGCCCCTCCCTCACTGTTCATCCCTGCGGGACTGCTTTACAGACTGGTTAGGTTTCAAGTTTAAGCCACGCATGTTACACACATTTAAAAGGCTCCGTTTCTGTTTCCCATTGACAGTCAGAAAACCAGTATCCTCAGACTTATCACTCACGTAGCTAACGACAGGAAAGGGAGCAATTCCTCCCATCTCTATCTAGCTTCCCCTAGTGGATGTTTTCCAGTTTTTTTAATCACAAAGTAGTTTACATATAAAACTACATTCTGAATTCTCCCCAGAGGGGTCTCCAAATACTAAAGGAAGAAGAATAGCAAAAGATCTTGTTAATTTGGAAGTCAATTTTAAGACAATGGTGAGATTTAAGCAGGTTTCTTGTGGAGAAGATGCTTGTCAGACTCCGATGAGAGCCCCCACGCCACCTTCTTGTGCACGTACATACGCCAAGTCCGCAAGCACCTGGGAGAGGCCGCTCTACCCACCCAGGAGCGGCACTCAGAACACAGCTGTGTTTCTTTGCAGAGCACTCAGGAGATGAAGGCTTTTCTCCAAGCCCTAAAACAAAAGCTACATGGGAGGCTCAAACTGTCCAGAGATTCCTGTCACAGAGGTTCTCCAGTAAGATGTCACCTGGCCAGAGCTGCTCCATTGGCCCAGCGGGGGCCACGTAACCTGGTGTGGGCGCACTGCACACCAGCCTGGAGAAGTAACAAAGCAGAGGCAAGCCAGGAAGAAGGGGGCTTGGGATGACTGATGGGGAAGTGAAGCTGAGAGCCTGCCTTTAGGCCTGCTTCCAAAATTCAAGAGAAACCTTTAAGAAAGTGGAAACAAACTTCAAAGTTAAAGAACAAAGCAAAAATCAACCCCCCAGTACTTACTGGGTCACACCATGCTCCTGATGATTGACAGAATTCTTTCTAAAACAGGATGGAAATTCTCTACCAGAAAAGCAGACTCCCCCCAAGTCCTTTCCCTTTACCCTCCCACTTAGGGTATTTCTTCTCTTGTCCTATGGACATCCCAAGATAGATGTTTTCAGGAGAACTGAGCAATTTTTTTTTCCTACGGTTTGTTTTGTTCTGTTTTTAGAAAGGGTCTTGCTATGTACATCCCATGCTGACTTCAAACTCTTGATCTTCCTCGCCTTAGCCTCTCCAGTGCTGGGCTCACCGGTGTGTGCACAGTTGTAGCCTTGCCTTTATTACTGAGTGAATAATGTGTGCAGGTGTGGGCATGTGCAAGTCAGAGAACAACTTTCAGGAGGTGGTTCTCTCCTTCTGTGGAGCTGGGGGCTCCAGCCCAGCTCCCAGCTAAGTCATATTGCCTGCCCTCACTTTATTTTTAACAGGGAAACAAAACAAAACAAAACCCTCAAATCTACCTCCCTTAAAATGTTCTAAAAAGCTAAATAACAACTTGAAGTCTCACTGGGGTATAAAGATGAAATGTGCTGTGTCCAAAAGAGAAATTTATCACTAATCAAAGTTCATCATATATTTAAATCTCCCTTAACAGATTTTCAGACAATTTTTTTTTTTTTTTTTTGGTTTTTCAAGACAGGGTCTTCTGTAGCTTTGGAGCTTGTCCTGGAACTAGCTCTGTAGACCAGGCTGGCCTCGAACTCACAGAGATCCACCTGCCTCTGCCTCTGCCTCCCGAGTACTGGGATTAAAGGCATGTGCCACCACTGCCCGGCTTTCAGACAATTTTTAATAAACACACACAGCATGCTATTCAACTAGAAGGGAAATCTACACTGGAAACAGACAAAAACTAAAAACACATTTTATAAACTCTTTCTAGTAAGCTAGGAAGTAACCTTCTTACAATGATGAGCAAATTAAACTTTATGTCTTCAGAAACCACAATCGCATTCTTCTTCAAGGAAGACAAACCATTTATTCTTTCAAAATCTGAATATCTACATTTCTAAAGTCCAGTTTAGGTCTGGCAGTCACGGGCTGGCAGTGTCCTTCCCCTTAGCTTCCATTGCAGTGTTCTTACCAGCTCGAGGCTATTAAATGACCATAGCAGATGGCTGGGTTTCTAGCAGGAGCCTGCTTGTGCCTGGGAAAACGGAGCCGCTTTAGACTCAGAAAGCTCCACGTCCCCCTTGACAGCTACCCGGGGAGGGCTTCAGTGAGCTCACCGTGGGAGACCCTTGTAATTCCTGCCCCAAGGAGGAGGGTTAACAAGACTGGGGTTGGGGATTTGAGCTTCTTTTCTCTTTTGTACCATTTGAAGGAGGTGCTAAGTAGCTTGCTGAGATTGAAATTTAAAAAAAGAAGACAGGGAGCTGAGGATACAGAGCCCTTTAACACTGGGCACAAGCCAGTTGGCAGAAAGAGCCAGATGCCCCTCCCTAATCCAGGAGAAGAGCTCCCAGGAAAGTCTGTCCATTATTCACACTCTGGCCCAGTCTAGCGGTCCTTTGTTTTTTTTTTTTTTTTAAACCATTTACAAACACTAAGAACTATTATGGATCTATGGACTATGGATTAACTCTATGACCTGAGCAAAGTGATTAGGCCCTGTGGCTCCCTGCCTGCTCACTTGTCAGTCAGCATGCTCGCCGCCTGCACCGAGCACAACACTTCAACCTGGAGCAGTTCCACAATCACACTCTGCTGTGCGGTCCATTCTGGAGGCAGCCCTGTGGAATAGCAGGCCCCTATCTTCCTTGTCTAAACTGGGAGAGTGAGGCTCAGGAGCTAAGCAACAAGTCCATCAATGTAGACTGGGCTGGACCCTCATTGGCTTCATGATACAGCCTGGGCTAGCTTCAAATGCGCTCCGCCCTTCTCTGCTTCCCAAGGGCTGGGACTGCAGGTGTGTCCCACCTGCCCAAGTCCACCGCTTTTCTCCTAGTCACAGAGCCTGCTGCTTCTATTACAACAGCATTAAGACACGGCCATTTAAGGGAAACGGTCATACTCCTCCCTGTGAGGTGTGACCTAAGGACACACCGTGAACGCTCTCATGTGCATCCATGCAGTGAGTGGGCTGCGTAACAGACAGACACTTGCCATGAATGAGACGGGGCTCCAGATGCGAGCCCCGATAGACACCTGCTCAACAAAGTCGTCTGAGCCACGGGGACATCTTATCTGTGTACGCTGCAGCATGTGCTTTGTGGTAACCTGTATCTCTGTTAACAACATTAAAAATTGTAGACAGTCAATGCTGATGAGAACTAAGTGAGTGTCAAATACGGCGAACAACATAAAAATAACCTGAAAAAAATGAAATAATGAAGAGTTGCCACTATCCACAACTATGTCATCCAGAACCTGATATCACGTATAGGTTCAGAAACAGAGATGCATAAAATACCCCTATAAAAACATGTATTTTCAACCTAATTTGCTTTTTGAAATGATTTAATTCTGAGCAATAATGAAGTCTTGCACTGTGAAGACTGATCTAACAGATCCAGCTCCATATGCCGCCGAGGCCACAAACACCTACAGTTAATCGGCAGTCATGCGAAACATGACTTTTCTAGGGCATGAAGAACCATCACGCAAAAGAAAACGCTGAAGCTGGACTGGAGTTTTTCTAAGAAACTCCCTGAACTGGTATGTTTCATCTTGACCTATGACGTACGCATCTCCCTTCCTGACCTCTCATCCCTCCACCCACGGAGGGAGGGAGCTCTGAAGGCAGAGGATATAGAGTGAACTCTTTGACTGTGCGGTTGTTCTTTAACAGAGGACAGCTGTGTGCCCTGTCTAGCCTGCAGTTAAGACAGCTGACGTCACGGCTGCCCTTGCCACCCCCACCTGCTGCTCTTATGCATGGCACTGGGCACTGACCTGCTTTGCCCACTTCCCCTTTTCTCAGTGATCCTTCAGCCTGGCACCCAGCTCTGAGATGAGGCCTGCTTAGCACCAGTGAAGTTCCCCACGTTCAAACCAACAACGCTCTGTGTGGAGATGAGGGAGTCAAAGTTAAAATCCAACCCATCGGCGTCCATGAGTTCACTACGGATAATGGACTCCATGTCACATTCCAAGCTCCCATTGAACATGTCCAGGTCCAAGTCACTGGGGAACTTATCATGGCCCATGACAGGAAGGTTTGCATTAGCCGAGTACAGTGAGGAGCCTGAGAGAGAGTCCGAGAGGGTTTGCATAGACTGGCTGACGTGAGACGGCTGCTGGTGTTTGGCTGACCCGAGGCTGCTGGAGTCACTCAAGCCCAGGTTGCTGACAGAACTTGACAAGGCACGGCTGCCACCAAGAGCGCCCTGGGTTTGGTGCTGGTGGTGGAGCAAGTTCTGATTGACCAAACTCCCCTGGCTAGGCTGGGCAGCAAAGGACATCATCGGGTCATTGCGAAGCATCACATTCCGGCGGGCGTTCTGGGCAGACACAGCAGTGCTGGCCTGAGACATCAAGGGGTCTGACTGGGTCATCATGACATCGCTGTGGCTGAGTGAGTCCGAAGTGAGCAGGTCTTGGAGTGTCTGGTTGCCATAGTGTGACATGGAAGAAAAGGTGGCTGCCTTGTTCTCTTGGATGGTCTGCATGGGTGACTGGCGCAAGGAGTTCAGAGACGAGGGCCCGAACACGGTGCTGTTGAAGGAGCTGGTGGGGGAACCTAGGCCAGAGCTCTTAGCGGTGTACGGGAAGCTGGAGCTCCGCTGCATAAGCCCCCCAGGAGGTGACTGCTGGGATGGTGGGAGCGCGATGTTATCGAGCAGGTCATCCATGAGGTTGTCAGCCAGCCCATCGTTCAGATTCATGGTGCCTGCCATGTCAGTCAGCCGCGGGAGCTCCACAGTACACGGCTTGCTCACAGAGGGTGACAGGCTGGCAGAGTTGCTGTAGAGCATGGGGGAGAGTGGAGCATCGTCGTCCTGGACATCATCCAACTCTGTGCTTGCCAGGATGGGCGACAGGCGGCCACTAACTGTGCTGGCGTTCGAATTGGTTCGTGAGCGGAAGTCTGTCCACGCATCCAGCTCATCGCTGCTGCGGGATGTGGGGCTGCCGGGCCACTTGGAGAGCTGGGAAGGGCTGTCGTCTGTTGACTCTGGGGCAGCCTGCAGGGCCGCCTTCTTCTTGGCTGCTCGGCCACGGCTCTTGGTGTACTTGTTGCTGTTGTCCATAGAGACAGCCCGTCGGCGGGGGGCCTTCCCACTCTTCCCCCCATCAGGGTTGATGATCCACCAGGAGCTCTTGCCGGTCCCCTCATTCTGAACCCGCATGAATCGGCTGTGCAGTGACAGGTTGTGCCGGATAGAGTTCTGTAGAGAGAGAAGGCAAAACGCAAAGTGTGAGCCAGGATGGTTCAGTCTAAAACAGACATCCAAAAAAAGATTCTTTAAAAAACCATCATTTTGGGGGGAATAGGAGGGCATCACGTATGTGCGCAGACATCAGAGGACACCTGTGGAGCATGTTCTTTCCTTCCTCCACGTGAGCACTTAGGTCGTCAGGTTTAACAGGAAAAGTTTTACCCACTAAGCAATCTTGCCAGGTCAGCTTCAATTTTATAGGCCAGCATTTTTATTTTTTTTAAATAGCAAACATCTCTGTGACTTGGAACAAAACGCCAGGTTAAACAGGAAGCTTCAGGCTGGGAAGGCAGGGACACTGGAAACACAGGAGCTCCCTGACACTGCTTTTCCAAATTCCCAAATTTTGTTGCACTTTCTGTAATTATGTATTTTTTTTTCCTTTTCTTTTCTGGAGTCGGTGTTTCTCCGTTTAGTCATGGCTGTCCCAATAACTAGCTCTGTAAACCAGGCTGGCCTCGAGCTCGGAGATCTGCCTGCCTCTGCCTCCGCCAGAGTAATGGAATTAAAGGCGTGTGCTATCATGCCCAGCCTGTAATTATATTTCCCATTACTATAGTTCACACTGATAATTTATTACCACGCCACTCCCTCTCCATACTTTGCAATAAACCCCCAGCTCTCCGAGAAACAAGTCACCTTGGTGGCTATTCTGTTCTCTGACAGTCCTCGGCGCCACAAGAACAGGGCCTTCCTTCTTAAACACTGCTATCAGAGTGTGAAATTTTACTTGTCCCCTCTAGGGTCCATCCTGCCACAATTTCACAATTCACTGTATAACTTCTGCAGCTATGGAAAGGGCAGCGCGGGTTTTCAGGGACCACGAAGGAGTAAGTCTCTCATCTGGAAGAATTTACACCATTTAGACATTCTGCACCCTCAGGAACTGCATGAAAGGGGGAAGAGTAGTCTGCTGCGGAGAAATCTGACAGACGCTGTGTCAGCTGGGTGGCCAGGGCTACAGCAGCAGGGCCTAGCACATTGCTAGTGTACATCTTAGATAAAATGTACCGAAAAGGACAGCCTCTCCAAAACCTAAACCCCAGACTAATCATAAGGAAAACGTGAATCCCACTTAATGGACAATTACAAAAGCCAGTTTAGTACTCCCAGCATCATCGCAGCCAAGGGGAGACAAGGGAATGGAGTGAAGAACTTCCTCTTGGCTTAGTGGATACACCCAGTTGTCAAGGATAATCAGGCTCAGCCATATCTCTGTCACTGGCCGACCACGTGATCTCAAACAAATCATTTTATCTGTCTGCAACAACAGCAGGTGGCCATCTTCATCATGGCTGTGATAACATCCAGCCAGCCCTCCCTCCCTGGATGACGTAACCATGATAGATGATAGTGCACTTCAGACACCAGTCACGCCATGCAGGCAGGCTTTTACTCCTCTTATGAAGTGCAGGCCCATAGTGAAGGGTGTTTAGAGCCTAGGAAAGCCCACTCGAGTCTGTAAAATGCCTTATGTGCATGCAGTCGGAAAAAGAGTTGACGGTTTTCCCCACATCTGGAATAGCACCTGCCGGCCAGATGAGCTTTTACTGGAACGTTAAAGACGAAAGACATTGCCTAATACTGCATATTAAATATGAACAATTCTAAAAGTCACATTTAAAAAGAATTGGCAACTATCAACTGTATTTATGTAGAAGAAACAAATACATGTGTTCTACCAGATTGTTTTTAAAACACAGAAAGTCAACAGGATTTTGTCATAAGTAAATAACTCAAAATACACACGATTTCTAATGTACATTCCTGCAGTTCATGCTGGGCAAAGAACACCAGCAATTATGGTCATGGCTGCCATTTCCACAACTGCATCAAGATGGGTACGGTAACAGGCAGCACCTTCAGGGCCCAGTGAGGCAGGTGTTGCCCGAGAGACTACATACCCTGCTCTTTTCACATTCAATTTTTTTAAAAAGAGTAATGGCATGTGTACTAATGGTTCAGAAATTTTATTTCTTTGAAGCCGGATACTTTATGAAGTGGGTAACACTCCTGACGTGCACTTGCAGAGAGCAGGGCAGTCCCTCTTTCTGAGTACATGGGTAATTCAATGCATTCAATAAAAGCATCAACACAAACTTCAGGGTGAAAAGAGAGCTGGTCCTGAGGCTTTAGGGGCGCAACGCAGACATTCCCCTAACTCTTCCAACCTGTTAGCCTCTTTTGCTGTAAATTCTGGGAAGAGTTCACATGAACACAAAATGTTTACAGAAATAAGCAATCTTGGATAGTCAGTGATCCTCTATAATAGGAGACGATATTTGTTAAATGTCTTTTACTGTTACCAATTCTAAAACCTACCAAAAGGCCAATGAAACATTTTATGGATTTTCTGATAGCCGTCTATGACTCTAACGCCTAATGACGTATATGTATAATTTGCTGCAATCACAAGTGGCTGAAATTAGAGGTATCAAACTTCTGGAAGGGCCTGAAGCCTGGCTGGGAAGGCCAGCACCACAGGGTGACAGAGCAGGGATGGGTCATGAAGACTGGTCCCTAATTACAAAGTGGTGATCTGAAGGCCTACCAGATCAGAGCACTGCTGGCTTAGAGTTAGTTACTGCCTCCAATCCTCACCACAGGGCCGAGGCAGTGTAGCAGTGCCCCAATTTTGCACATGAAGGCTCAGCCTCTGAGATATGAACTATTAGAGCCCACTAGCCAGTGCGCAGAAACCAAAACTGGAAGCAGGTTTGTCAACCTACTTGCAAAAATGTAATGCCTTTTCCATGGCCTTTCACGGGCCGACCAGAAGGTTAATGGTAAGTCACCCTTAAATGTGCCTGTGCCAGCCATTCAAGAAAAGCACCCAAAACAACTCTGCTTGGAGAAAAAAGATTTTATTTATGAAATACTTTGAAATTTAGAGGCCTCTCCCTAATCTTTGTAAAAAAGCATTTATTTGGTTGTTCTGGAGTCCCCTTCCTGAGGAGAGTATGTAGTTCCTACACAAAGCCCACCTCAGTTAGAGCTGGCTTTAGTGGCCAGTCTTCACTGGGCTCTCAGTTTAGAGGGTTACTAATGGCAGAATACATTCCCTGAGGCTCATTATCTAAGTGCCCAGGCAGGTTTTTCCAGCTACTTTATTACTAAGACAACACAAACAAAACTGGGCCACACCGCCCAGATAGGCCAATCCCAGCAGCTTCTCTCCCTTGCAGTCTGGCCACCTTCCATTTATAAAATCTATAATCTGAAGGAGCACACCAACAAAAGCCAATAAATGCAGTTCACCTGTCCATTACTGTTCAAATGCCCTTGCCCTGCCGGCTGGACGCTACAGATGTTATTTTCCTCAGAGTTCAGAAGTCTGATTAGCTTTCCACCTCAGTTTTATTGAAACAAGAAAGATTAAAAAAAAAAAAGGAAAGAAAGAAACAAACAAACAAACAAAAACGGCTGGGTAAAAGCATCAGGGCCAAGATTTTTTTTTCTTACATCTTCCTTGGTAACAAAGGTGAAAACCTCAGTTCTGTAAGATTTCCCACCCCATTAAAAATACCCTACTGTGTAGGAGCAGTGGGCGCACACCTTTAATCCCTGTACTCAGGAGGCAGAGGCCCGCAAATCTCAAAAATTCAAAGCCAGCCTAGTCTATAGAGTGTTCCAGGACAGCCAGGGCTACGCAGAGGAAGACTGTCTTGATAAAACAAAAGAAAACACCCAAACCCAAATCACACCACCACCACCAAACTATGGTTTTCCATTAATTTATGTATCCTTATAAGAAATAATTTCAATTTCTAAGGTTTTACATTAGTGTAGAGAATGGTAGCTGAAAATAATGAATAAATGTCTTGATAAAACTCGAGTTCTCTCAAGTATGATTTTTCTAATCCTACTTCCATATATAATGAGGTACACTATGAAGTTCACTTGGCCAGAAAACTAGGGATATGTTTTCCTTGGTCATCCCATCACCACATTGACCAAAGAAGCCCAGAAGTAACCTCACACCAAAACCTTGTGAGCATCTCCAGTTACTGCAAGATAAAGCTTCTGATGAATTAAAAGAATGCCATAAGTATCCCTAGAAGAAACTGCTGCTTCATGGGCAAAGACGCCAGCTCTCCCTCAGTTTGAACACTGAGATTTATAAAACCTTAAGAGATGTCTATAGTTTGGGAGCAAAGCTAAGAATAACAGCCATCTCATTTTGTGCCAACCTTCATGTCTATGAAATAGCTTACACTGAACAGGCCTACTAGACCTACTAGTAGGTCAAACCCCTACTAGATGTAGTTAACTAGTCATCGAGCTGGCAAACCAGGTCCCTTGATTGTGGCTGCAATTAGTGGCATAATGTTCCAGAGGTGTGTGGAGGAGGCAACCTGTTGGGATTGGCATTTCACAGTCGTGCTGACTGCACTATGTGGGCTACTGCCTAAAGATCCCTGGGCCCGGCCTACCTAAAAGACATTAGCACAAGATGACTGCATTGAGTAGAATCTGATCATTATTCTCTTGATACAATGAACAGTTTTCTGTTGCTCACTGCTGATGCTAAGGTGTCCATGACCCTTAAATATAAGCTAAACCATTAGAAGACAGGTGGACTCAAAACAGAATGGGAGCAAGAAGCAGCCTAGCGCTGCGGAGTATCTACCACTCACAGAGTGGGCGGGTAAAACAGCAAGCGAGGAAAGGCAGTCGCGGAGGAAGACAGCGATGCTGAGACAGGCCCCAGTGCTCCGAGCTCAGCCGGTCTTGCCTGCAGTCTGAACCTCAGCTGCCCCTGTGGAGAAGCCAGGATCAGAGGTACTCGCCCTTCCTCCAGGATCCTTGTGAGGATTACAGGAAGCTCAGCACGCAACACTCCTCATGCCAAGCACTGCTCTCAACAACTGACAGAAGCCACACACAGAACCTTAGCTTACTATTTACGTGTGCTTTAAGTCAAAACGGGACACGGTGGCGTCCTCCAA